ATATATATATATAAATTAATAAAAGTTCGATCAATTTAGTTTAAATATTAAATTCAATTATAAGTGGATGATAAAGAATAAACATTATACAAGTAATCCATTATAAGTGGATGATAAGAAATAAACATTATTTTCACTAAAACCGAATCCAAAGCATATTGCTTTACATGTTCATGTACATGTTTCACTAGTGATGTTGACCGCATACAGAGTCAGGCGATGCAAACCTGTTGACAAGCAACCAGAAGCAACACCTGTGCCATCAGTGTAATAACTATCGCGTTATATCACGGTGTAACCTCGTCAACTTGATATATGTATGAACCATAAAATATACATCTATATTTCAAGACTCAAATTTAGATTCGAATAAAACGAATAAATAGTACGAAAACCATAATAAATAGTAATTCTAAAATGCAAATGACAAATGTTGCAATCGAAAATAACGTACGAAAAAAATATTGAGATATAAAATATAATATAAAATATAAAACATCATAATAAATATATTAAATATACAAACATGCTTATATATATATATATATATATATATATATATATATATATATATCATTATTATCAAAAAATTTTAATGGTTTCTTTCCTAATAATACTTATATTCATATTGTAAGACACATAAACATCTATTCTTTTAAAAACTGAAAGAATTGCCTTTTCTCTTAATGCTTTTGAAGAATAATCTTCTCTAATAACAATAAAAAACTGCGAATCTTCTGTTATCATTTAATCTATTGATCTATTTAATCATTTCTTGATCTGTTCTATAATATTACAAATGTTCCGTATAACAATTTTGCATGATACCTACATTTCGATTTAAGACACTGTTCGAAGTTGATACATGGAAGGTTGACAAGGGAAGTTTTGACATATTCATGTACTAAAAGGCTAGTAATCTCATAGTAAAGGATATATAGCGCGGAATATCTCGAGTTGTCAAATTATCATCTTTGCATATGCATAAGCGCAACGGCAATGTAATGCATGTATATCTAAAAGCGCTTTATACTTTCTGAACACGCGGTGTAGCTTAACATAGCAATTTCCGGTAACATTGACTATTCTGTACAGTCATGTACATCGAAAATTATCAACGAAAGCTTCGTTACATTTGTATTGCGGCAAGTATACATCTCTCTCGCGAATTTTTCAAATAATTCTTAAATAAACTTCAAAATTTTTTTATCATTAAAAGTAGTAAATTATTTCCACTCGTGCTATTTCTTGGTAAAACTGTTAATAATATAAAATGTTATATTGAAAAAGTATTATATTAAAAATATTGTATTAAAAAGGAATGAACTTAGCTTACGTATAGAAATTTTACGAAGTATACAGAATACTCCAGAGCTATCGCTATTTTTCTTTCTTTCAGATTCGACCGTGCGAGAAATATATCACAAAAGACGATTTATTCAGGCTACTTCTCTTACGATATTCCACAACCGATAAAATAGCATTTTCGGAATGTTTTATCACTGCGAGATACATAGTACACGCAGTCGTAGGCATTGTCCAATGCATTTTGAATGAGCTGACACGGAAACTGCCTATCTCACGATGCGCGAGCGATATAATATTTTTAACACATTCGGTCATAAAAATTCCATCTAGCGTCGACACTCGACCGAAAGCGAATTTCTCGATCTTGCGAAGCTATTCGATGCGCCAAATGTCACCGGCATAACTCGACGTCGCCGTATATAATATTCTCGGACCGATGCAATTCGGTTTACGACGGTGGCTCGCGAAGTCGTTACACATACGTTACACGACGATAACTGGTCCGGAACTGCATGAGCCACGGGACCAACGACACATGGACGGACACGTCGCAAAACGGCATTGTTGCCTTTGGAAAGCGATCCATGGTGTAAATCGAGACAGCCGTCTCAGAGTTTCCGCGAGATGGGACACAATCGCGGAAAAGCGCGATACGTACGACGGAGCGCCGGAAGCGAATCAATCCCCGGTGGAAAAGTTTCGGCTGTTTCCGAAGCGAGTTGAACTTTGGCAATACCGTAGCGCGGGGCAAACTTGCGACACCTACTTACGAACCTTCGCCAATTTATTCTCGTGCTCGGTCGACCGTTCGCACTTTGATGCTCGTATATTAAAGTCAACGCGAGTAACAGATGACCGCGTTTTCATCGATCGAATAAGATAGATATCAATGGAAGTGGCAGAAAAAATTATCTTCCAGAAAAAACACGATGCAAAAGTGAACAAAATAATATGTGATATGTGACTTATAATAAAAAATAAAAGTATTCATATATAAATTATTTTCCTTATTGATTAAAAAGTTTGACGTGAAGTAATAATTCAATTGTGTATTAATTAAAATTCTTATCTTATTTGAAATATTTAAATAATCTTAAAAATGAGAAATAAATATATTAAACATTTCTCGCGTTAGATACTTTGAGTAAATTAATTGAAATAATTATTTTTGCTATTATAGAAACATAGCAAAACATTTTATAGTACTATTTTTGTGAATTTATATTCATTCTTTTGACAACTTATATCTGGTTCTTCCAATTTTTGTTAAATCATATTAATGGATTTTTTGTCTTTGAAATTGCAATGTAAAATCAATGCAATAATATATTTAATATGTACATTTTATGTCTTTAATATTATCAAATGTATTCCATAAATATTTATTTTCAAATGTATTCCAATAATATTTATATTAATATATTCTGAAACAAATTCCTTTATCATTAAAACCTTCCGTATCAACAATCACACATAATTGATACATACTTTGTGCTTATAATATCACGATATTATCCTCATAATGAGGACGAGAGATATCGTCTTGTAAGCCCATTATAAATACTCTATCGATAGTGGAACCGATATTGTGTGTCATACAGATAACTATTCGCTTACTATTTTAGTACGCTGTTTCAGATTACAGTACTGAGAACGTAACGCTCGAACACAATTTCCTCTTGTCTCTTTATTCATAGTTTGTAATATACATGAATGCGAACTCTAAGGTAAACTGTACGCGACTGGCGATATGCAATACGCTACGCAGCCATTACCGATTCAGTCGGGTCTAATCTGAACTAATCATACACATGTATGGCAACATAATCTTCAATATCCTCAGTCTATTGAATGTAGGTAGATGTAGACACCAAGAGGAAAGCTGCAACGCTTTAGTCCAAACATGCACATGTTGACTGTTCAAATGACTTCTTGCAATAATGAAAGTGTAAACACACGTCAGCATTTCGCAGCAATCCCATTAATAAAGCAGAGCCAGACTAAATTTCAGTCTGCTAATTGTAATTTTCAACGTTAAATATCTTATCAAATTTGTTAAATTTATTGAAAAAGTGTATTCAATTGAAAACGGAATTTTAAATATATTTTTTTCTTTGCAAAAATTCTTTGATATCGTACAAATTGTGTTAAGCTTCTATTAAAAAGATTATGTAAATTTAAATACACGAAAAATATCCAGATCTTCGCTAAAGAAAAAAAATATAGAATTTATAATTGAAACAATATATAATAATTGAGTGATACTCGTGTATTAATAATAAAATTTTAATGAAACATTCTCACGTATACACAGATTATACTTATTTCTTATGTGACCTATTTATATTATATTTCACGGATTACATTCGGATTATATATTCGATATCAAATAATAATTTCAATGAGTAACAAACAGCACGGTCAAGTTTCAAGTATTACGAGTTTAAAAATAAGCTATACATTATTTGCATGTGTTGTTAAATATGATAATTACATTAATAATCCTTTTATGCAATAATCAGTTAGCAAGCATTATGAAATTCGAAGCACTATTCAGTGGAGGAAAAATATTTGCCAATTATACAACGTACTTTTGTTATTGGAATTTATTACTAATTTAATTAGAGAAACAAAATATCCGTTTTCCCTAAGTATACTTATATATTTTATGATCATTATGTACGAGATGCGATAAATCGTATTATACGGTATAAGAGTATTATTTTGTTACAAAAAATGGAATTTGCAATCGCAAATATGGAATAAATTCTTCGTCAATATTTATATTACAGGTACATATTTTTAATAAATCTTAAAAAAAACAATTATATTTTCTTTTTCTCTCGATATTATGTTTAGTATAAATAAAAAATAAATAAATAAATAAATAAATAAATTGTAATAAATTTTTATGATATCCATTTTATGAAATCCATTTCTCAATTCCCAAATTTAACTAGAATGCTTGGTCTAATCTCTTGACATTTTCTTTCAATTCAAGTCTATTTCCAATTTTGAGTTTTACATAAACTTTTACTAAATTGTTAGTATGACAATCCACTTAATCATTTCTAAATGGATCGTTAGCTAGAAACGATTTAACAACCATCTCCAATTAACGAAAATAGAACAAGAAAATTAAGAGATCGTTAAAGACTTAACGAACATGATTTGATTAAAAAAGTTGATTGTCTTCTTAATCTAATTGATGTAACTGTCATCGAAATTTTCGAATGGCACAAAATGATGAAGTATGAACATTTAATTTCGATCAAAGTTACTTTAAATTCAATGTTTAATAATACATTATAATTTTAGTAAATTAAAAAAATATATATATATATATTTAATTTATTAATATTATTTTTATTAAATTCAATTAAATGATATATAATATAATTAAATTATTTATTATAAATATTAATTATAAATAAGTATTTATATTTAAACATCAATAAGCAAGATTTAATTAAAGTTACTTATAAGAATTAGTGTTAATAAATTAAGATTAATTTTAGCATTTATTAATATTTTTTAATTAAAGTTAAATTAAATTATAATTTATACAAATTATTTTTAATTAACTTTTTACGATATATTTTAAGTATCAATTATGAGAGCATATTAGATATAAATTTTTATAAATAATTTAAAAAGAATACTAATATTTAAATTCTACTAAATATTTATAGACGGTGCAATCGAACAAAGTGGATCGATGAAGGAAAGCGACATTGACCCCTACATGAAGTCCAAATCTGTCAAAGATGTTTTAGCACAAAGCAGCGGGAACGCTCTACTGCCTTGTCGATTCAACAGCCCCGGAATAGTAAGTACATATACATAGCCGACGATATGCACGCAAATATGTACATTTAATATGGGTATACGCGCCTAAAAGCACGCGTATATGGGTGTCATATAATGCAATACGTGCACATGCATTATACGCGGCCGATAGACACGGAGGAAATTTGGCTTGTGTTTAACAGTATCGTATGCACACAGAACTACACGCGACATATGCATATTTATGTCTATCATGAGATGCGCCTGACCACCTCGTTGGTACGAACAAATATGAATCTGTAAGTAGATACGATGATGTTTGTACATTACTATATAAAAATAAAATTACTAAAATAATAATTGTGAAAGATTTAGACTACCATTATCATCAGTGTAGCACAATTACAAAATTAAATTAATTAATTTAATTTAATAATTAAAAACTCTTTAATATTATATATATATATATATATATATATATAATAAATAAAAAACATGTTATAAAAAATAAAACTCTAATAAATAATCATATAATTTTTTTCTATAATTTTCGATACAGAATATCGCACTTTACTCTATCTTTACATATATTGGATACAACGATTTAATACAATATTCATGTTTCTATGTGTAGTTTCATAAGAAAATAATTTAAACCTCCAAATTAAATATTACATTAATTAATTAATGTACTAGAATGTACGCGAATTTTAATTTATATACCAGAATTTTTTATAATTCTTTGCATTTCTTTTTTCAAATTTCTTTAAAATATACATCGTTTCTGTCATATTTGTCGCACACTGAGAAAAATATGTATAAATTTTTACATCCAATTTCATTCCTTTCAGAACGGAATACAAAATAACTATCTGTAGAGAAGACAACTAGAGTTCTCAGCAAGTCAACCACCGCTCATGGTTGACACTTCTACAATATTAATGCTACGAAATTGCATCCCGATCTTCCTTTCTTCTACTTCGCTTCCTCGTTCATTCAATTTTCACAGTAACTTGAGAAGAGAATTGTATCGATTATATATAGTGAACTGCAATAATGGCGTAACCTTGAGAACAGATTACACGTTGGAATCTTCATAACATCAATGTATTATCGATGATAATAATATGAATAACATTATCAAATAATGAAAGATCTCGTAAAATTGTCAATTTAAAATATGTGATGAAATAATCTAATAGAAATTAAAAATTTAATTTAGTCGGGTTTCTTAAAAAGAAACTTTATTAAAGATCATTAAATATTTATAAGTCAGAAATCTCGAACAGATAATATTCCTCTCAATTGAATTCCTCTAGTATATTAATAAATAAAGAAAGAAATGCGATGTCTGTGTTTCTTTGTTGTATAGCATATCATTAAAATGCATTGAGAAACTTGAAAAATAAATTTTAAAATATGAAAACAAAATATATATGATAAAATAATATAAATCATTATTGCACACATCTGTTTACATGCCGGCAAAACTATCGCAGTATATTCTACGATCCTATTCAAAATGTTTGCGTACGGCTTGTGTGGCTTAAATGAAATATTATTCTTGATCGCTTATAATATAGCCAAGAGCGATTAAACTTGTGGTTGACGATAACCGTGATTATTACAATATTTTACAAGAAATCTAGGTAAAGTTGCAAGGCATTTTATTTGTTGAATAATATCAAAATTCAAATCAAAATCAAACCAATGAATATTTGAATAAGAAAAATACAACAATATGTTTATTTGAAATTGAGTTATAAATAACAATATTTATATATACATATAATACAATATATATTCATATATGCAATACATTCACATGTAATGTTTACATCAAAATATACCTAAATATTGTTATATAAAAACACGATAGAGAGAATTTTTTACGATAAAAAAAGAAAGAATGATTCATCATACTAAACAATTGATGATGTAATCCAATTAAGCTCAATCCATTTCCTTACGCTGTTTGTGACTGCGGACAATTAGAGAGCACGAATTTAATGATAATCATCATCGCGTCAACAGAAATGTCGCTGTGTAATTGTCAGTGCGACCACTGCCGGCCAATCCCAATTAGATCTGTCTACACGGTAAACTCAACAGTGGTGTCGATTCAACGGTGGTTAGCCGTTTGTCAGAGGCCATCAAACCAACGCGGTCGCAAAAAAATCGAATTAATTCCCTCTGTTTCTCTGACGATGAGTATTTCACGCTCGACATTGTTCCTGTGAAATAACGCGAAGCAATTAATACGATCGGAATTTTTTCGAAAGTTAAAAATCAGGCTGATCGTTTATCCGAGACGAGAGCAAATGATTGAAGAGAGTACGCGTGCAATTTGTAACCTCTCCTCCGTCCATCTGCTAGACAAGGATAGATTGCTGCGGTAATCAATTTTGCTTGAAAAGATCCGATATAATACACACATCGTAACAAAATAATGAGATCACCGCATCAAAATTTGCCGGCAATTCACGCAAAACGCAGTATGTAGTAACTTTCCATTAAAAACTTGTCAAGAAATAAAGCTCATTTATCGAATAATATGATTGAATTGCTAGCATTTAATCTCTCTGTAGCTGTTAATCTTTCGTATAATCATTTCTATTATTCATTGATTTGTATTTTACTGTAATAAGGAAAAAATGCTATAAAATCTTATTTTGTTTTTATAATATCCTACAAATTTTCAGTATTAATTAATGTATTTGACGATAAAATAAATAAAAGAAAAATTTAATAATTTATAGTTTGTAGTGAAATAATGGAAATACAAAAAATAATTTTGTGAAGATTTCTTTTATTTTAGAAATGAAAAAAAATTTTGAAAATTTTTTTGTTTGTACAATATGTAACATAATGAATTTGATAATATAAAGCATAACAAATATAAAGCTAAATATTTAAAAAATAATTAATTAACTTTTCAATCAAAAGAATAAAAATATCTTATTATGAAATAAAATTTATTTCATTATCTTCCACATCTTATATACGTATAATTTATTGTTACTAATCTCAATTTATGTGTGTATCTCACGCATTGAAACCAGGACTGTATAGTATCATACGATCGATAGAGAACGACAAAAAGCTAACAAGAGCAGAATGAAAAGTAGATACCACTGGAATGACAATGCCATTCCTGCGGTCTTTGAAGTGCCAAATTCCGCCACTTCATTCGGCGCTAGCGAGGAAATTGCATGAGAGAATTGCATTTCCTTTGTCCTTTAAACCGGAGAGTATCGCGGGTTACCTTTGACCTGTCATTGACCATTACCATTCAAACATAGGATACGTCCAATTGAATGCTCGCTCCTATTCGTTTGTTGTGACAAGATCCATGTGGTCTACAAATTATGATAGACGTTATGTATATTAGATATACGTAAGATCTTTAGCAGCTCTTTGTTCGTTATTTTGTGTTACTGCAGGGAAAGTAAAAAAAAATGAAATTCATATAATACCTGTATTATATTCTGTATCATACTCTATGTATACTCTATGTACATCATATTCACATCAAAATCCATATAAATATTATGCTCTAAATAAGACTTTAACTCATTTCATAATGTTTCGTTTCAGTAAAAATATTATTTTACTTTATTATTATCTAACATGCAACATTTTCATTGCGAGTTTTCTATATTACTGTCATATTGACGCAAAGCAAAATATATGTCAAGCTTCATTTTCTCTATAATATCAAGAGATATTAATAAAATTCTTGAAAAATGATTAAAAATAATGTAAATGGAAATAATTAAAAATAATGTAAATGGAAATAATTAAAAAGAACATTTTACATTATTTCTATCGAGAATTTGAATATCTTGCTTTTCTTATGTAAATAGCATGATATCTCAATACAGATATTAAAAATTTGAAACGTACTTTATACTGAATAAAGATTTATGATAAAGTTTTAAAAGAAAAGTCATGTTCATAAAGTTCTCAAATCACATATCTTCATTTCTATGCCAGATCTATCAATTAACAAAAATTTGTATAAAAAGAAAATACTATTTTAAGCAAATATATTATTTAAATAAATACACAGAAAGTTTTTTCTCTTCATAAACAAATTACAATAACATTAAATTACAATAAAAATCTATTTCATATGAAGTATTTAAATATATTAAGCAATTATAATGGAAATTAAATAACCTATACTCAGTCAAGTGTATCGCATAAATGTGTTAACGTATGCATATCACTTAAATCGCATTGGACACCTTCCAGTCGGATATCGATGCTGCATCGTTCGTCAAACTACTAAGCCAGAAATGATCCAATTACAGATGAGAACGGCGAATAAATTGCATGCGGACATGGAGGCAGCTTTACACTCGACGGTGACAGTCACTGATATAATTACAGTTTAAGCTTCACTTCCATCACCGACTATTAGTACGTGCGAACGGAATCTAGAGCTGCTTCCTAATGCAAGCGCCAGATCCGGAACAGACCGGTCGAATCGAATTAAGCGTAATTCTTGACAATTTGTCAGCGCGTTAATTTATAACCACGATGAAATTCCCCGTGAAAGTACCTGTCTTCATTTGACTAATACTTTCCGTACCATTTCATATTTACATAATTTATTTAAAAAAGAAAAACAAATTATATATACAAAAAAAACGATCAGCCATTGCAAAATTAAATATTCCAAAAGAGACGAGCAAATTTCGATCAAATTAAATATTTGACAATAACGTTAGTATTTTCATTCTTTTTAATCTTTGTATTTTTGTGAAAAATATAGCGCTGAAATACACATAAAAGAATTACAAATAAGAATATATCATCTTTTACTAAAATTCTCTAAAAGGAAAACTATGTCAGAGGCGCGCATCATATGCAAACGATATTCTATTATGTTTTATTCAGCTACCTTAATAAGAGATCCCTTTCTTATTCTTTATTTAGACTCGTTATATCAAGGATTTCCTGTCAGAAGTACTTGTTATTTTATAGCGCGTTTCAAAATCAATATATTATCTCAATATCCATCTCGCTACATCT